TGGTGTTTTACGAGGCATGGGATATCTTGCTTAGGACCAGGGCTATTGCAGAAGCGTCATATCCTATCCTACAACAAGCACAACTGGACCTCTAGAGAAAAATGTCTCCATCATAACCGCCAGAATCTCTACCATATGACCGATGACATATCGTTCTCATCGGTAGCCCGTATGCGCATAAGCCCCAAGCTCCTGATCGTAGCCCACAGCGTTCAAGACTGTTTGTCGGGGGGGGGGCATCATGTCAGCAGTTCCTTTTAAAGAACCCGCATCAGTTTGAGGAAAACCAAAATCTGAGACCAGCCGGAACTCGTAGATGTGTAAACTGGGTGGCGGTCGTCATTGAACGGCGGTAGTTATGTGTGAGTTGTAGTGACATGGTGTGCTCAGCCGTCGCAGGCGTTCTTTCGAACGTTCCTCCTCGGTGCGCACCCCCTCCACGGTTCACCGCTTGTTTCCACGTCAGCTGGCTGAAATAGAATTCGAACGGCGGTGGCTACACGCTTCGTTGCACATACAGGAAAGCTAGACGACGACATGAAGTGAGAGGAAAAATTTACGGCCGACGAACTGAAACATATCGTTCTGCTTGGCCGCCTTTATGTCATTCCTACTTTTATATTCTGCCAAAAAGGTGCTGAAATCGCATCCGAACGACCACCCGTTCGACCATCGATTGCATAGACGAAATTGAACAGTCATTCATACGAAGTGGAATTTGATCGAGTTCAGAAATGAGGTCCGTGCTTCTCCATACTGCAATTTTCGTAATTCCGATGACCATAGCTTACGATGAGACATCGTCACCTGAACCATTGGAGGAGAGCCCTAAGCTTGGGTCGGTCGGTGGCCTACTTGTGCGGTTAGAAACGTCGTGAATGAGTTTGCTACTCATTTGCCACGGGTCTTTACAGAAGTAGTGACTTAACCAAGCCGGAGCCATCATTAACACAAAAACACCGAAAAACCACCACGATTTATTTTTTGCATTAATTAATTCAGTTGGCCTTAATCGCGTACTTCACTATTATCTTAATGCTAAAAACGTTTCTTCTTCCCTAAATTGCCACTTCAGTGATACTAGACGCATCGAAAGAAACAGGTGGTTGTCATTATTACCTGCGTTGACGTTTCAGCCAAAGGCATCGCTGTCCTCAGGTCAAAGCAACCTCCTAAGCAATTTTGTAACTGCTTCCATTTTCCTCTTAAAAACGGAACAAGGAATGTGCAATTGATCATCAAGTACTGGCTTTTAATTTTTAACCGTGAATTTAGTCATGGATTTGACTTACAAACTGTCAACCGGATGAAAACTCAACAGGTGGTCTTCATAGGCGCCAGAGAAGCTGTTCTTGGGTTGAGCAATCTGCTACCACGTGCCCTACCCGATGAAGCGGTTCGAGGTCTTCAGTTCATCAGCTGTTTCTAAAACCTGTTGAACCTCGCTGTGTTGAGTGAATTTTTCGTCCATCGCATGAATTCGATTGAGTTTGAATCTTGAGGTTCAAGTTGATCTTAAACAAGCTCTATTTGAAAGATTCGTATATGACTAAGGCACCTTTCCAAGGCACTGAATAAAAATGAAAGCCAATGGTCAGAATTATTGCGTCGGTGCTCACTCATATGCCTGTTCCGAATATCTGCCTCGTTCAGTGGTTTTCAGGCATGAACGAGTGTTTGAAATTTTCTGTCTTGCTTGCCTCTCGTCGTTCAACACACGCTTATCGTGCATCTGACGACCAAGGGCTGTGCTGGCTTGTTTTTCAAGCCCTCTTTTCCAAGCGTTGCACTCCGTGTCGAAAGTTTCCCTCTAATCTGGAGCTAATAACTTTTACTCCCTCCTTTATCTGGTGCGGATGATCGTACGGCAGCCACAACCGGTTCCGGCTGTTGATGCCGAATATCGCATTCTTCGTCGTCGTCGTCGTCGTCGTCGTCGTCGTCGTCAAAATAATTGCTCGTCCAGGCATCCGAGGAATTAGCCCTTGTCGTCGTCTCGTCGTCTCGTCGTCAACATCGCATCTACGTCAAGTGTCTGGCCCCATTCCTCGCGCGCATCCAAGAATGGACTCCAACAAATGATCCTTCACACGAACAGGCTCAGTGACATCCGAAAGCAAACGATAATTAAATTAATTGACTGCACGGTTTGCAAAAACATCTACCGCGGCGGCGGTCCATCGGCCACTGAAGAACGGAATGTCTGTTCGGCATGATGAAGCACCGGCCGGCCGCCGCCGATAACCGCTCACCTTAATTATGGCACATCTTTGGCACTTTTTAAGAACCCATCTACCGCCATCCGTCGCGTCTCGTCAAAATCCGGCAGACAGACACCGAACGCTTCTCGTATGTGTGAAGGAGTCGTTGCTGCGTTTCTGGCTGCACTCAGAAGGTTGCTGAAATCTTGCCATAACATAATCTTGCTGCCTTCAGAAGATCATCGCCTCAATATCCGCGAATGACATTTCAAACTCTTCCTCTGTCTCCTGTGAGGCAACGGCTGCACACGTGCCACAACATTTTGATTCCAGTCCGGCGGTTTCGCCTCCGGCACAGAAACCCTCATCAGAGATACTTCAAAATAACGATTATCGTTAAGAAAAAATTGAAATGAGAAAATTTAGCCGCATTCAAAGCCATTGTGTCAGAAAGGTGGAGACCCAATCTTGATTCTAGAAATTCTTGACCGATCCACCTTCGCAACCGTAGGGGATCACCATGGGCTAGACTCGATGCTGATCGTCTGTCTCATCTGAGTCTAAATCTTTCAATCCCTTATTTACCAATAAATCAGTGCTGGAGTCCACAAGCCGTCCATCAGTTGTGCGATGTGTCTCGTCAATTGTCGTTTTCTTTATTTGAAACTGACACCACGCCATGCCATTTTCCCGCGCCTTATTACGTCCTCATTCCGCAGCTTAATCATAGCGGAAATTCCTAGCATCCTTCTTTTCTTATCCCGCTGTTGTACTCTTACCAGTTCTTCATCATTTATCGTAAATGGAAAATGTAGCTGTTAACAATACCGTGCTTTTATACAGCGTGGTCTTGAGGGCAATCAATAATTTACTGTTTCCAAGGATGTCTGGCTTTCTTCTGCGCGTATTGCACGATACAGTACGCCTTGTACCCATCCTGGACCGAGTGGAAATACTCGGTAACGTCTTCTATTTGGTAATCATTGATGACCATTGCACCTAACTGTGAAAATTTCTTTTCTCATCATCCTCATCATTGCCTTGTGTACCTGAAATCCAAATAACCCTAAAACCTCATTATTTTTGCAACACTGGTTGTTCTCTTGGTCCTGGTCCTGGTGCACGTTGACTAACTGATCTTTAGGGCTTCGTAAATGGAAAAGCGAAACTAAATGTTTGCAACCGTTGCACACTTTCAGCAATAGTCTGTGTTTCTTTACAGATGCTGTTGAGACACCAATTTCGCGTTTGAGGATGTCACCAACCAGGAGTGCCATATTTGCATTCTAAAACTGTATCGACAGTTGGTGGAACTTGCCGAACCTCCGTGAAACAGATTATTTCTCGGTTGCAGCATTCTTTCATTTTCAATATCTTTTTATGTCCGTTCATACTCCCACACCTTTTTCCTTGACTCTTCTTGTTCCTTTCCTTGTTGACCCTTTCTTGTCCTTCCTATCTTACCTCGTAGCAAATTTATTTTCTACGTCTTTGTTCGCTCTGTTTCTGTCTTACAAACGCACAGCTCCTTCAAGGCCAGGTTCCACGGTGTACCGTACCACCGCTATCTCCTAGATGCCTAGGTGAGTCATTTAAGCAGGTCGAAGCTCGGAGGAATATAAATACTTACAGTACCAGACAGATCTGGTAATTGCACAAATATCATGGAGCTGTGGTCTGTTTAAATCCCAGCCGTGCAACTAGGAGGAAGGGGGTGAAGCAATACGCTGCGAAATCCATTCTTTGAGGAGTTATGCATTTTTGGCATACTCTGGCGTACTATCACATTCTGATGATTCTTTCTTTCTTTCATCATCAGTTGGATTTTGAAATGCTGTTTGCTTAACTACAGTGTGCCTACTGGCCATTTGACGCGTCCCTGGGTTGTGCATAGGCGAACTACCTCCACATATGAAGGTTAGCTGCGTAGCTGCGACATGTAAACAGACGCAGAGAGGCAGCAGGGAAAAAGCCAATGCGTGGTCCGGTAATCAGAGAAAACGCTACAGTGTCCAGTGGCAGTCCCATGACAAGGAT